CAAATAAAATAATTATGTCCTTGAAAAAAAGAGTCTGTGGTAATGACTCAAATGACATGGTTCCTTCCACACACATAGATCTCAGATCCTGTCTTCAGTTCAGCCCAGAGTCTTTGTTAGCATAGAGTGAGCCAGCAGATGAGAGTGTTCTCTCAATCTCTCTGCCTCTCTCCCTCTCTTTGGCTTCCTCTCTCTCAAATTAACAGTAATTTTAGAAAAGCATAAATGATCTTTTTATTTTTTATTTTATTTGACAGATAGAGTTAGACAGTGAGGGAGAGAGACAGAGAGAAAGGTCTTCCTTTTCCATTGGTTCACCCCCAAATGGCCGCTACAGCTGGAGCTATGTTGATCCGAAGCCAGAAGCCAGGTGCTTCTTCCTGGTCTCCCATGTGGGTGCAGGGCCCAAGCACTTGGGCCATCCTCCACTGCCTTCCCAGGCCACAGCAGAGAGCTGGACTGGAAGAGGAGCAACTGGGACTATAACCTGGTCCAAATGGGATGCTGGTGCCGCAGGTGGAGGATTAACCAAGTGAGCCATAGTGCTGGCCCCGCATTAACGATCTTGATTGCCTGAACTTCTTCATATGATAAAGATAACTACTACTTTTTTTCAAGGTTGTATTCAGAGTTACAGAGAGGCAGAGAGAGAGAGAGAGAGAGAGAGTCTTCCATCTACTGGTTCACTCCCCAGATGACCACAATGGCTGGAGCTGAGCCGATCTGAAGTTGGGAGCCAGGAGATTCTACTGCATCTCTCATGGAGGTTCAGGGGCACAAGGATCTGGACCATCTTCCACTGTTTTCTCAGGCCATAGCAAAGAGCTGGTTCAGAAGTGGAGCACCTGGGACTCGAACCAGCACCCATATGGGATACTGGTACTGCAGGTGGCGGCTTTACCCACTACGCCACAACACCGGCCCCAGATAACTACTTCTTTAGGTTGCACACTAGATTGATATTGTTAATACAGTCCTTAAAAATGTTAAATTTCAATGTACTTCTCTGTGGTGTTGTCCATCTTTTGCCTGATATGATTTATTGACTAATTCTTCCCTGTTGTTCAGGCCTACTCTTTGCAATAGGTCTTAGGGAAACCATGTAGAGTGTGCAGTAGTCTGGGGCTAACAGCAGCACAGGGCTGTCTGCACTACCAGCTCTGAAGGGTCAAGAGAAGGAGACAGTTCCCGGAACCCAGGGAGGATAGCATAAAGAGAGGGCAGCCTTATCAGATAGAATCTTTGGAGGAATTTCATATCAAGTCATAATGATTTCTCAGAATATTCAAAGGAATAATTACCTGACTTTAAATGTCTCTTTCCCTGGCAGGTGCCGCTGCTCAATAGGCTAATCCTCCACCTGTGGCGCCAGCACACCAGGTTCTAGTCCTGGTCGGGGCGCTGGATTCTGTCCCAGTTGCCCCTCTTCCAGTCCAGCTCTCTGCTGTGGACCAGGAGTGCAGTGGAGGATTGCCCAAGTGCTTGGGCCCTGCACCCGCATGGGAGACCAGGAGAAGCACCTGGCTCCTGGCTTCGGATCAGCGCGATGCACGGGCCATAGCAGCCATCTGGGGGGTGAACCAATGGAAAAGGAAGACCTTTCTCTCTGTCTCTCTCTCACTGTCTAACTCTGCCTGTCAATAAATAAATAAATAAATAAATGTCTCTTTCCCTCTGAAGGCTGCTGGTGACTCAGGCAGAGAGAGGGAAAGGAATCCACTGACTTAAACCACAGAGGGCCTTGTCTTGCAACATAGGAAGAGCAAGAGTGAATAGATTGGAGGGTGTCTTAGCTTGGGTTGCTAAAACAAAAATACCATCGACTTGGTGGTTTAAACAACAAATGTTTGTATCGCACAATTCTGGGGGCTGCAAAGTACAAGAACAAGTCAGATGCCTGGTGAGGGCCCACTTCCTAGCTTCAGGGAGCCACGTCTGACTGTATCTTCACCTGGCATGGGACTGAGACACCTGTGAAGCTCTCGCCTATCTCTACTCTAAAGGGCATTAAACTCACCATGAGGGATCCACTTCTGAACATCACAGCAGGCTTTGGGTTTCAACGTGTGAAACGTGTGGTGGGGGAGTGTGTAGAATGTGATGGAATGAGAAGGCCACGCCAAGATGGCACTGGCAAGCAAGCATCAGTTACTCAGGAAATGGCTTCAGAACCCACCTGGCAAAGGAGCCTGCCTGGCAACAGGTAGTGGTCGGTTACGGCATAAACTGCCCCTTGACCGATTGGCTGCCTCAGCTGTATAAGCTGCTGCACCAACTGAAATAAATAAGTCTGTGGGCTGCTCGCATCTGGCCCACTTTCACCCTACTCCCAGTGTCTGTGTCGTGATTCCTTGCCTCTTGCCCCCACCACACTTCTCCTCTCAGAACAAGTCCACAGCAACACATGTCAACATTCAGTTATGGTAGAAGGGCAACTTAGGAGTCACACATCACTCTCCAAGTATTTGACACCATCCTCCTCTTTCAAGGATTCTGTTTTTTAGATTAATTTTAACTATTTCTCCCTCTTTCCAATATTGTTATGATCTCTCTTTCAAATGGTTTGTTGACATAAAAACACAACCCCCTTGCCTACTTTACATATTTCAGGGTTTTTCTATTTTGGCCAAATGACCTAAGCCCAAGATCAGGTGGACCTGGAATCTTGTCTGAGGTTGGCCTATGCAGGGAGAAAGTAGGTTGGCTCCTCAAAAAAAGACAAAGGTCTTATAAGAAGATGACTAGAACAAGAAAATTGGAAAACTGTGGTATTCAGAGAAAAAATACTTTGCACATAGTGATTTTAACTCAGTGGACCTCAGCCCTCTCAGATGTAAAAGAAGAAACCATCAGATGTGCTACAGCAGGAATATTAGAGCTTAGAGGTTCAGCATGTGGCTGTATTTGAAGTCTAATTTTGATATGACTAGTTTTGTAAATGCGTCAAATACCTAACATATCTGAATTGAACTTGTTACCATGAAGTATATACCTGACATGTAGGAAACATTACATAAAGAAGTTATTAATATCTCACACCCAGAGGCCAGTTACAGTTACTCTATTTCTTCCATTAATCATCAGAAACCTTAGTCACAAATGCTGATTTAGCAAATAATCATGCTTGGCCTACAAATTATTAAGTATTTGTTACAAATAGGATACAATTTTCAAATATTCATGTTATCATTAGACATTTTTGATAAAATGATGGCATTTAATATAAGGAACACTTCCAATTGTCAAGATTTAAGTGTTCTTTTGTGGCAATTCTTTGAGATTTCTATTAGCATCAGATTATTTCTCTCTACAATGGTCTAAAATATTTCCAAAGAACTTACCATCTGTCTCCTATATAGTAATAAAAAAGTATTTACTATTGCACCTTTTTTTTTTTTTTTTTTGCAACTGAGGCTCTAAAGAAAAAGTGAAGAAAGTATATGTACAACCTCAGTTTTGGGAGTTCATTTTTCTCCATTTCTCAGAAATATGGTTCCAAGCAAATACATAAATTAAGTGTTGAGCTTCATATTGATATTAATTATGCAACTGATTGTTAACTTCATTAATACTTCTTAAATGGATAACTTCTTTAGGTTGTTAATTATGTAAGCTAATTTTCATCAAATTGAACTAGTTCCCATCCTCTAAACTGAGTAATAAATTCCATTTCATTGAATCGTCTATAATTCACTTAATCAATTAATTCAATCATGATAGAAAAGATATTTATGAAGAAAATGAAAAAATGTTTCTAAGTTCTCCCTTTAATAAATAAAAATGACCCTTCATAGGGGATCTTTTCTTGACATTCTCCTCTAAATATTTAGGAAATCCAATAAGATCTGTTTTATACATACCATATAATGAGATTCTGAGAAAGAGATCAAGCAGTCCATTCAGAATTACAGCTGATGCAATTATTACTAATTGGTGCTATGTGAATTATTGGCAGTAATTTGGTGTTGTTTTAGTTAAAAGTAGCAATGAGAGAGTGGAGCTTAGCCTAGTAGTTAAGATGCATGCATCCCATATTGGAGTGCCTGGGTCTGATATGCAGCTACAGCTCCTGACTCTAGCTTCCTGCTAATGCAAACCTTGGTGGCAGCAGTGGAGGCTCAAGCAGTTGAATTCTTGCTGCTCACATTGGAGATCTGGACTGAGTTCTTACCGCTGGTGTCATCCTGGCCCAGTCCCAGTTGTTGTGGCCATTTGAAGAGTGAACCAGTAGATGGGAGTTCCCTAGCTGTTTCTCAAATAAATTAAAAAAATAATTCTCAATGAGTAATAACAGGAGAAGGTAACAAAGAAAATTCTATAATTTTTCACATGCTAATGTATGGAATGATAGTTCTTTTTGTAAGGTATGATTTCAAAAGCATAACTTTTAATTTGCTTTGAGTAACAGTGTTTAGTAACATTATTTAATGAGTTATATATGGCTATAAATATCTGTGAATTAACACATTTGTTTCATTTGTTCTTCTCTTAGCACTCTAGGCATTGGAGTTGATTTTTTGAAGTTCTGATATTAATTTAAAGACTTTTCATGTGGTATTTATAAATATCAATATTTGTTTTATTTGCATTGGAAATTAGCTAACTTTGCATGTGTTTTCTAAAATATACACTCAAAAATTCATTTGTAAGTTTCTTTAAATGACTACAGATGATCTGCACCTGTTTTATATTTTCTAAAACAAATTCCAAAACCAAAACAACAAAACAGTCTTTAGAAAACATCTTGTCTTCTGCATACAGCAACAAGAAAAAAAATAGTAACTTTACATCAAGGATTAATATGTTGGATCTTGCATAAGTTAGAAAATCACTATTTTTAAAGTAAACTGATGTTTTATTGTTTGCTGTCATGGAATTAGATTGCAATTTCATTCCCGCTAGTATGACAACCTTTGCAATTATAAGAAAGAAAATTCTTAAGCCAGTTTACTCGTGAACTGAGAATAAAACTAATATGCTTTCATTGTTTTATCCAACAGGAATTTTTTAGACACCCATTAGATGCCAGATGTTCTGTTAGGCAGTGAGGTAAGGAAATGAATGGCTCTGTTCTTGAAGAGATTACAGGGTTGTGGGGGAGACAAGCAAACAAATATGATAGAATTATTGACAGGATTTTAGGGGCCACAAAGAGCAGTATTGAGCTCATGGAAATAGTGAAAACTAGTTGAGTCTTGAAGGATTATCAGAAATATGCACTCAGAGAAGCTAGAACTTATCATTCTAAAAACTAGGAAGAATCTCCCCCTCCCCCCTCCTCCCCTCCAATACCCCTCCCCTCCCCTCCATTCCCCTCCCCTTCCCTTCCCTTCCCTTCCCTCTACCTCACTGAATTACCTTGTATTGTTCTTTATCCAAAGCCTGAGTTCTAGCTGTTGCTGAATGGTATCCAATCCGATTTTCTGGAACCTGTCACAAATCTTAATGACATTGAACCAAGTCAGCCAAGATGCTGAGTAGGGGAAAAGCAAGTCTATTTGTTTGCAATGCATTACTAACAATTACCAAGGAATAGAATTGCTATGAATCTCATGTATCATGTTGACCTCTCAGTACATCTGGTTTCAAAATTCTTGGTCTTTTCTTGCAATGTAAATGTCACAGGTAATGATGCCAAAAGCGATTAATGAAAAAAATAGTTTAGTATGAATGTTAAAACATGTGCCCAATTAATATAAAACCTGTCACTACTGTTAACTGTGAAACTTTTCCCCTTTAGTTCCAGTAAAAAAACATGATTTGTTCTTTTAGAGAAAAATTTTCCACTAAAATATAATAACACACTTTAAAATAAAATGCCTACTATATAGAAATAGTTAACAAGATGATCTTTTATAAAATGTTTTTACTTAAAAAATCACATTCACAGATACAGATCCTCCTGAACTTGAAAGAATTTCAGACGAATGGCCAATTTGGGATTTCAAGCTATGAATATGGTGTTTTTGTTTAGATTCTTTGTTTTGATTCAGCAACTCAGATATTAAAAAAAATAATAATTACTAAAATAAAGAAGGCCTCCTGTTTTTGAATATTTTCGCAAAATACAATCTACTGAGAAATAAAAAAGGAAAAAAGGTAGCAGCCCTTGACATCCAGGAATTGGTCTGACAGACAGTCCATGCTGTTCTGCTGTTGGACATAAACAATTTCACAGAACAGCAACATCAGGCGAGGTCAGTCACTCTGAGGTCATGACAAAGGAATATAAAAATAAGCATTTCATAATTTCAACGGTCACAGACAAAAACAAGGTCACTGTGCAAAGCACAAGATACCACACATCTCCAACTCTTGGATAATATGAGTACCTTCAATTTTTTTAAGCAATTACTGCTTCATCTTTCTGTAGTTTGCCTTTCTTGTAGATAAGATTTTTGAGATACCCAATCATAGAATTGTCTCTTCTATTTGATGGTATTGAATCTAGAACAAATCCTGGCTTCCTTATACACTGTCCAGAGTCACCCATTCAAAGACAAATCCTAATAGGCTCTTGCAAAAACCCTTGTACTGAGACATTCTAAGTTCCTATGTTGTGTGTTTTTTCACACTGTAATGAGTAATAAATCTAACTTTTCCTACTACAGGTATGTTCCTGGTGGTCTGTGGCTGGAGAGAAAGACACTATCCAAGAGGAAGCACCGGGCTCCTGGTTTCGGATTGGTGCAGCGCGCCGGCTGCAGCGGCCATTTGTGGGGTGAACCAACGAGCTTTCTCTGTGTGTCTCTCTCTCACTGTCTAACTCTGCCTGTAAAAAAATTAAAAAAAATCAAAAAAAAAAAAACACAAAAAACAAACAACCTTGGCCCAGATTTCATTACAAGGTAACAGGCCCATGTTACTATTTACCGAGATATTTTGGCTAGGACTTTGAAGCAGCTATTATATTTCAAATTATGAGATCTGAATACAGATTTCTTAGAGTAGTTGCAATTCTATCAGTTGCTGATTATGATTAAGTTATTATACTCTGGCCTTCCATCTATAAAGTAGGGATAATAATGGCACTTCTTTTATAGATTTATTACGTAATTTATTACTCTATGCATATGAGGTGTCTTCAAAAAGTTCACAGAAATATCTCTTATGACTAAAAGTATACTTGGATTTCAATTTATTTTGAATGCAAATAAACATCCTTTGATTCTACTTTTCCATTAAATTTTTGAATTACTCTGATATACAAAAAATGACAATTCCTACAATATATTAATGTTTAATAAATGCAAGCTGTTTTATTTAAAATGACAAATATTGAAAAGAAGGAAAAATTATATCTAAAGTATAAATATTACTGTGTAATGATAGTAATGTGAAACTTTATTTACTAAACATATTTATGTTAACATATGGTCATGAAGATGAAATCCAATACAATTGAATTTCATGTAGTCTTAGAATGAAACAGAATATTGTATATCAAATTGGGCCCCTGGATCCATAAATTCTTTGAATATTTTTATATAGAATTTCTCTGTAGCTTTCCATGTGTTTTAATTTGAGACATGGTAACTAATCTTCAAAGATGGACTCCTGCTCCCTCTCAGTGAGACATACTTCCTGTGTTCAGGTCCTTGTGTATCTCCATCTGGGCTGACATTGTGAGTCAGTTTTGAACAAAATATGATGAGAGTGATGCCACATGATTTCTGAATCTGAGTCATTAGAAATTTTGTCATTTATTGCCTGGTGTCATGGAACACTTGCTTTTGAGACACTCGCCTTTGAAACCAAGCTACTATGTCATGAGAAACCCTGTATGGAGTGGATGAGCTAAGTGTTCAAGTTTAAAGCCTCAACTGAGCTTTCAGCCAACAGCCTTTGTCAGCAGCCAGCCTCAGCAATAGGCCCTCATGGTTACCTTGCCCAGTTTTGAGATGACTACTCCTACAGCCAACGTCTCATTGTAATGCATTAGACACTCCGATTGAGACCACCAGGCTAAGGTCAATCAAGCTACGGGTTCATTAAGATAATTATAAAATGTTACGTTATGTAAAGTCACATAATTTATGTTTTTTTTTTCTGTAATGCAACAATAAATAACTGAAAATGGCATGGTTTTGACTCTTTGTGACCATTTGAGGTTTAAGGTTTGAATAGGGTGATAAAAGAAAAATTTGCCAGCTAACATTTTTGATGTGGTAACTAATAACAAAAACGCAAAAGCTCAGACACCTTTGAACATACTTCATAAATACTTCCTTCATGGTCAGTGTTCAAAGAGTTTCATTCCCATTTCTTTTTTATTCTGATATTTTAGGTTCTGGTATTTATCTATTCCATATGGCAGAAAAGGAGCACATTAGCTGTTGTAGGAAAGGGGAAAAATCCATGACTTAAGCAACACTAGAAGCTGCTTATCGTTCTTGATAGCTCTACGAGAAACAGATGTCACCACAGTGACTTCCTGCCAGGGAGAGGGAGAGGTGAGAGGGATTCTGGGAAGGCAAATTAGATAACAAGCTTGTTGTGTTCACACAAGTGTGCTAATGAATCAAGTGATAAGCTGCATATTAATTGCTAATGAACAGAACAAATTCTTACTTCTAGTGGAATAACTTTGATTGAAATATGAGTACCTCATGTCTAATGGCCTCAATCAACTTCATCTGTGCTTTCTAGATGCTGAGGAGGGAATTGTACTCTGCAGATGTTTTTAAACACAACTGAACTTTCTCTCAAAACTACTTCAATTGCTGGCCCTATTCACTACCAAGCTATATAAGATTAATTTTGGCATCAAATGTTACATAGATGGAAATCTGGCTAAGAGCTATGCAACAGTAGAATCTGTAAAACCTTGGAATTTACGCAAATAGGTATTAGTAAAACAAGATGGAGATATTTAATAGTAGAAATACAGTTGAGAGAATTATAAAAATAATGTTTTCAGTAGTCGTAACAGAAATAATGGACTCTGTGATGTCTCTCTGTCTTTCTGGAAGCAAAGTTTGAAAATGTGATGATAGGTAAAGGAAATTTTGTGTCCTTAATTTAATTTTTTTAAAAATAAGTCTTTCCTCCCACTTTAATTCCTGCATGTTTGCTGTATTTATCAAAATTGACAATCTCTCCCTCAGTCTCAAAGGGTTCCCAACTAAGTAGCCTTTTTCATATGATTCCATCGTTGATACTATTCCTCCAAAATATTTCTCTCTCTACGCAAATCTTGTTTCTTTAATCTAGTTTGATTTTGCCAAACCATATATTTATTTTATTTTTTTGGCTCACCTCTTGGATTTTCTACATCTGTAAAACACTTTCCTGTTTACAAGCCCTAAGTATAATTAAAGGAACTATGGGTACTTTTAAGGAATGCAGAAATTCTGGCTCCACTTTCCAGTCACAGGTTCACTTCCCAGTCACACTTATTTGCCATGTTTCTGGAATGTTATGTGAGAGGTGATATGTCTTTTTAAAGGAATCTTGGGCTGAGAATTTTATCCACAAGAAAATCACCAAGGTAATGGTAAGGACACAGGCTTACTGCTTTTCACAGGAGCTGCATGCCTGCCCCCTTGCAGATGAATGGCAGTTTTTACAAGATCTGACAGCAATTACTTCTCTCCTTCTCCTCTTTTCTCCCTTCCTTCTGTTATCACACAGATGAGCTTGTTCACCTAGACCCTATTCCCAGGCCATGGGTCATAAAAACTGAGATATGACACTGGTTTTTCTACTCTGGCCTGGATTACTGTTTACTGCAGTGAGAAAAATCCAAACCCACACACCACTGGCACTTTGGCCAAATTTATTTGGGCCTGATCTTTTCATGTGTTTCGGGCCACACATGGCCTTAATAATGAAACAATTCCTTGCTTAATCCCTGCCTTCAAAGATTAAAGATTCAGCCTCACTAGTGTACATCCCATTTTCAACCTTTCTTTTATTTTATATCCATAAAGGCCCCACTCTGTCTTTCAAAGCACATATTTACATTGCTTTGCTTTATGTAAGTTATAAAATTGCATAAATTTGCAGTCCCTCCAATATTGTTGCATGAGATATTTTTACAAAGCACACATATTTTTTGTCAGTATGACACTGCCCAACTCAAAGCCCCTGAAGTGATTCTCCTTGTAAAACTCCTCACTTTTTTACAAACTTGATATATTTTAAGTATAGTGCATCTCTATTGTGCAAACTAGGACCTATGAAAGAGTAAAGCACATGCTATGAATTATTGCAAAATGATAAGAGGTTTATATAGATTTTTTTTGGTTACTACTTGCATAGCAAAATATCTGAGGCAGGCATATTTATGAAGAAAGCAGGTCGATTTGGGTTTACGGTTCTGGAGGTACTAGGTCAAATAGCATGGTGCAGGCTCTGTAGGTGTGCCCCCGACAACACACATCATGGGAGGAACAGTGTGTCTGTCTATAACTGTGTGGTCTCTTTCCTTATAAAGCCAGCAGCATTCAGTCATGGAGACTCCACTCTAATGGCCCAGTCAGTGTGATCGTGTCCCCAAGGTAAGTATTCCAAGCACAGACATTTAAACTTGGAAGTATGCTCACACTATTTAGTTTGTTGTGCACCCCATAATCCAGCACATTGGATTCTCCCCTATTCCACAACCAGGCATTTTCAGTTTCCTAGTAGTCTTTTTTTAATCATACAACAGCCATCATTATTGATATTCATGGATTAATTCACATTTACCTTACAACAACTCTGTGTAACAAGTGTCATTTTTATTCTAATTGCATGTGTGAAAAAATAGAACCTGGATAATTCATGACAGAGCAAGGATTTCAACAGGCACCTAAGAAGCTTCAAAGCATTTATTTGTAAACACTACTCAGTCCTGATCATTCTGTCCCTTTACAGTAATGTATTTATTTTAATGTACTTTCTTTAATGTACTTTAGGAAAAATAGTATGGGATTTGAGAGAATAAACCTTGAAGTTAGATTTCCTGAGTTCTAGTTTGAGCTCTGTCACATACTTGACCTTGTGTGAGTTCTTTAATTTTTCTGTGACTCAGTTTATTCAGTTGTAAAAAGGGGATCATATCACCTATTTCAAGGTTTATTTTGATAATTAAATGAATTCACGTAAAGGGTCTGCCATACCGTAAATTCTTAATGAGTATTCTCGATCAATATTAAGTGTTACCTCTCACTCAAAGGCTTTTCTTTTCCCACAGAACTCTGTTTTATGGCTATGAGAGCATCATTACAGTAGCACTTCTCATTTCCAAAGATATATTGGAATTATTTACACGGTCCCGGTTTAATATTGACATTGCCGGGAGAAGGGCTGGCCATCAGCAATTTCTTAAAGCTCTCTCCAGGTGATTCTGATGTGTAGCCAGTGTTGAGAAAATGGCATTAAATGCTTTTTTTTTTTTTTTTTTTTGACAGGCAGAGTGGACAGTGAGAGAGAGAGAGAGAGAGAGAAAAGTCTTCCTTTTCCGTTGGTTCACCCCCAAGTGGCTGCTATGGCTGGCGTGCTGCAGCCGGCGCACCACGCTGATCCGAAGCCAGGAGCCAGGTGCTTCTCCTGGTCTCCCATGCGGATGCAGGGCCCAAGGATCTGGGCCATCCTCCACTGCACTCCCGGGCCATAGCAGAGAGCTGGACTGGAAGAAGAGCAACCGGGACTAGAACGCAGCCGCCACTTGGGATGCTGGCGCCGCAGGTGGAGGATTAACCAAGTGAGCCACGGTGCCGGCCCTTTTGTCATTATTAATGGACTCAACAGGTGTCCTTATCAGAAGTTGGCAGGATCTTGGTAAAATGAATTGGATGGAAAAGCAGCAAGAAGGTAGTACAACAATGTAATACTACATAGTTATTCATTTCACTTTTGTTTATTTGAGAGTCAGATAGAGAGACAGAAAGGTGGAAAAATAGGGAAATCTGTCACCCTCTCGTTCACCCCCTAAATGCCTACAGCAGCCAGGGCTAAGCCAGGTGGAATCTGAGAGCCAGAAACTCAGTCATTCTTCCCCTCTGGGTGACAGGGATCCAGAGACTTGAGCCCCACTTGCTGCCTTCCAGGATCTGCATCAGCAGGCTGCTGGAATTCAGCATGCAGACATCCCGAAGTGCATCTTAACGGACAGGTCCAACACCTGCCTCACAGTGGTTA